TCAGAACAGTTTTGAACTTGTTCATTTTAATGCCTTTTAGTGCCTCTGCTGTTTTCTGTCTCATCTCTTCTGCATCGGCAAAAATTTCCTATTGAGGACTTTTTTTTCATCCAGGGAAATGCAACCAAGTCGCTGGGGTGAGGTTGGGTGAGAAGGGAGGGTGGGGCGTCAGAGTCACACTGTTTTGGGTCCAAAACTGCTGAACACTCAGTGCGGTGAACAGGTGCACTCATAATTCATCCATGAAACAGACAGATGCACTGAAAGAATCTCAAAAAAAAAAAAAAAATTCACTGAAGCCAAACGTAACCTCTCACAACAACCCTGGCTGCTACCCTGATGCTGATGGGTTCCTAGAACACTGACCTGGTGGGGAATGCCTGCTTTACAAGGGGCCTGCCCTCCGAAAGATAATTCCATTTTTTGTGGGGTCCCTCCTTGCAGTTGTCCTGTCCTTCTCTCTCTTACCTCCTGGCCAAACCTACCTGGAAACCAGAGGTTGTGAGCCCTTAGCTGTGGTCTGTGTAGATCAGCTTGGAGAACAGGCCATGACTAAGGACTTCTGGGGCACAGAACTTGCAACCATGGAAGAGAAGAATTTGCTCTCTGCCTTCCTTCTTTGCCACCCCTTCCCTCCCACATACACTTTTGTTCTTAATTCATTCTCCACTTGAATTAAATCTATATTCAATGTGTACTGTCTTATGAATAGTCACAGACACCGTACATATTTGAATTATATTTCTTTTTTTGCACAACTTCTCCTCTTGGAGTTAACAATGATGTCATTCGCTGTTTGTTTGTTTGAGACAGGGTCTCACTCTATCATCCAGGCTGGAGAGCAGTGACACCATCACGGCTCACCGCAGCCTCCAACTCCTGGGCTCAAACAATCCTTCTGCCACCTCAACCCTCCTGAAGAGGTGAGACTATAGGTGTACGCCACCATGCCTGGTTAATTTTTTAATTTACTGTAGAGATGAGGTCTTGCCAAGCTGCCCAGGCTGGTCTCGAACCCTGGATTCAGCCTCCCCAAAGTGCTAGGATTACAGGCGTAAGTCACCGAGCCCTTCTATCACTTCTTTCCTATATTGGACCCACCCCTTCCCTGGGGCCACATTTTCCTTTTTCTGAGTAGACTTCATTTGAATTGAGTATACCCTCCAGGAGTTTCCTAAGAAAGCCAGGCGCGCTACCACGCCCGGCTGATTTTTGATTTATTGTAGAGATGAGGTCTTGCTGCCCAGGTGGGTCTCGAACCCATGGGCTCAGGCAATCCTGTCACCTCAGCCTCCCAAGGCGCGGGATTACAGGCTGAGCCACCGAACCCAGCTTTCCTAACTAGTGTGTGTGCCATTTGAAGATTTCAGTACTTCAGGGTGGACATGACTTCACCAGGGGCACAAAAATCATTTTGGCTAATTGAAAACTGAGACGAGTGCTGCCATTTTTGGCTACCATTAGGGGAACATGGTGGGTATGTGTATAAGAGGATTCTGGGGTTGTCTGGAGTGCAATGACCCCTGCTGTCAAAAGCAAAAAGAGGCTGGGTGTGGTGGCTTATGACTGTAATCCCAGCACTTTGGGAGGCAGAGGTGAGAGGATTGCCTGAGCCCACGGGTTCAAGACCAGCCTGGGATTCCAGCTACTTGGAAGGCAGAGGAGGAAGGATCTCCTGAGTCCAGCAGGTCGAGGCTGCGGTGACTGTGAGCGTGCCACTGCACCACTGCACTCCAGCCTGGGCAACAGAGTGAGACTCTGACTCAAAAAAAAAAAAAAAAAGAAAAAGAAAAAATGTGGCTTCTACAAAATGGGGGCAGAGAGGAGTAGGAATTAAAACCAGGTAAAACGAAGATGCTTCTTGACAGCTCCCTGCTCAGCCAACAGAAGATCACACACCTCTACACATGCAAAACCATCAAGGGCTTAGGTTTTTCAGGAGTGAAAGTGTGTGGTCTCCCTACAGGGAAAGAACCACAACCAACAGAGGTGCTGGTCAGAGCAAGAGGTACATGGAATGAATAGTTCACGAGGAAAGTCATAAATAACAGCTACTGCTGACTTGTAACCAAGATGCAGAAACAAGAACTAAAATTTCCACCTCTATTTCTTTCTTTGCAGTGATATTTGCTACTTCAATTATTCTTTGGCTGAGCAGTGGCTCAGGCCTGTAATCCCAGCACTTTGGAAGGTCAAGGTAAGAGGATTGCTTGAACCCAGGAGTTTGAGACCAGCCTGGGCAGCACTGCAAGATCTCAAAAAAAAATGAGAAAATTAGCCAGGTGTGGTGGTGTGCGCCTGTAGTCCCAGCTATTCAGGAGGCTGAGGCAGGAGGATCGTCTGAGCCCAGGAGGTTAAGGTTGCAATAAGCCGTGAGTGTGCCACTGCCCTCCAGCCTGGGTGACTCCTCGATTCAAAAAATAAAAATAAAAAAGAAATGATTTCATCTTTCATTTCTGTGCATCAGCTGTGTTTGTGGTACTTTAAAACTACCCTTTGTTCTAGAAGTTTTGGAATGCCAAGGTAAGATAGAAGCAAACTGGGGCAAGAACGAATATTACCCAGCGAATGTAGGTTTGGTGTTGGGCACATTAACTCAGGGGGCTGCTGTGGTCTGAGTGTCTGTGTTCCTGCAAGAGTCACACATTGAAACTTCATCCTTCAGGTGCTGGTATGAAGAGGCAGGGCCTTCCGGTGGTGACCGGATCACTAGTGTGGGGCGCTCAGGAATGGAATGAGCGTCTTATAACAGAGACTGGAAAGCCTGTCTGCCTCTTGCACCACATGAGGACACAGCAGGAAGGTGCTGTCCACGAGAAGCAGACCTTCGTCAGACTGCAAGTCTGCCAGCATTTTGATCTTGGACTTCCCAGTCTCCAGAATGGTGACAAATGAATGTTTGTTATGTATTAGCCACCCAGTTATGGTGTTTTTGTGATAACAGCCCAGACTGACTAAGACAAAGGCTCTGTGTTTTCACTGTAAGGAGAGAGTGGTTTTTTTGTTTTTGTTTTTTCTCAAAATAGAGGCATTATGCTAGTTGCAGATTATTGTTATTATTATTTGAGACAGCGTTTCACTCTGTTGCCCAGGCTGGAGTGCAGTGGCATGATCACAGCTCACTGCAGTCTCGACCTCCTGGGCTCAGGAGATCCTTCCACCTCAGTCTCCCTAGCATCTGGGACTACTACAGGCATGTGCCACAATGCCTGGCTAATTTTTTAAAAATGTTTTTGTAGAGACGAGGTGTCACTGTGTTGCCCGGGCTGGTTTTAAACTCCTTAGCGCAAGCAATCCACCCACCTTATCCTCCCAAAGTGCTAGGATTATAAACGTGAGCCACTGCTCTCAGTGAGATCCTTTAAGTCAGGAGTCCCCAACCCCCTGGCTACAAAGGGGTGCGGGCCTGTGGCTTGTTAGGAACCAGACTGCACAGCAGAAGGTGATTGGCGGGTAAGCTAACAGCCTCTCCCCATTATTTGCATGATGGTCACTTGCATGAGCTCTGCCTTCTCTTAGATCAGTGACGGCATTATTAGATTCTCAAAGGAGCATGAACCCCACTGTGAACAATGCGTTCCAGGAACCTAGGCTGCCACTCCTTATGAGAATCTAATGCTGTTGCTGATCTGTCCAATGAATGCAATGCACTTGAATTATCCTGAAACCATCCTGTCCTTAGCAAAACTGGCTTCCACCTGCATAATGAACATTTGTATAACCACCCCTGAATTGTACCCCATATATTCAGAATAAAACAATAAAGAAATAAATACTGGTTTCCACAAAATTGGTCCCTGAAGTCAAAAAGTTTGGGGACTGTTGCTTTAAATGTTTGTAAACACATCATATGATGTCTCCCAAAGGCTGAGATTCCAAGCATGAGCCACTGCACCCTGGCCTTGCTTTCATTTTTATTAGAGGCAAGAAGAAACCCACAAAAATTAGGCATCTTCTCAGTTCAGATGTCTTTTCTGACCCATCCAACTGGGATTTACTTCTCAGCCCTTGGAGCATACACGAGAGAAAGGGTGATAATGTTCCTCCCTGCATCACACGGGAGGTGAACTACAGGAACACAGGTCCTACAGCCTTTATGTGCAGACTGGGTACTCAAACATCATGTCACACTTAAGCCCTTCCTATGTCTCCAGAATAGGGCTTGGTACCTCTCCCGTACCATCCCTAAGAACAGCTGACTTGTCCATCTGTCTTGTTCTAACATAGTCAGCGTGGAGCATAGTGTCTGGCACCCAGCAGGAGCTTGATAAATACTTATGGACTACTGTCGTGGTGTTTTCTGAGTAAATATTCCCTGCTTGTCTAAGATTGACCAAAGTTCCTGCTCCACCCCCAATATGCAAAGACACCATGTCTTCTAGTTTATTCTCATTGGGTCCTGAGTGAGAATAGTCAAATCAATCAGGACTCCCAGTGATGGGTGGCCAACATCTTCCTATTCGTGTCTCCATTAGCAGCCAGAGTTTTATGGGCCAGGGTGAGCCTTCATATGTTTACATTAACCCGGAACGAGGAGATGGACTCAATTTCTTGCTTGAGATAGTGGGGCAACCCAGAGGGGCCGCCAAGTTGGAACCACCATTCTCAGGATTTCTTTCATTCTAGGATTGTGGCAGCCATTCCTCTGTTTCCTCTTCAAAAAAAGAAGTTGATGTCTCCCTGGAGATCTTTTTCTCGGGACTTTCTTGGCTTTACTTGGCTACTTTGTGGTTTCAGTGGAGCAGACAGTAACTTTCTCCCCCACTTATTTTCCCAAGAAGTGAACTCCTGTTCCCAATCATTCCTCCCCCAGACTGGAGCCTCCCTATGGCACCACTGACAACTGGGGACTCATTTGGAGGTTTATTGTGGAAGCACCTTGTTGTGAACACCATCTTTCCTCTCCCATAGCACTTTGGCCCACAGTGGGAAGAAAGCATTACAGGAGGTGGTAACAAGTGTACAGATTCCAAGGAAGATCATCCCGCTTTACCCGGGTGTCAGGGTCCCAAAAAGTTCTCTCCTAGGGAACTGGCTGCAGGAACCTGCTGGAATTGCTCATCTGGGCCTTCCTGTTCCCAGAGGCTGTGGGTCAAGGTGGCTCTCATGGGTATATTCACATTGACTGGAGATGCCACTGGCGAGGGTATCTTGTGGTAGCAGTTGAAATCGTCTGTTTCAATGGCAGTGTCAATGTTTCTGTTGGCGTTCCAGGAATTTGGGGGTCATTGAAAGCAATAAAGGAAAAAGAAAACACTCTTAAAATCTAATTTCAAAACCATTTCCCAACTATGCCTTTTCTAGCACGAGTACCTTGAACACAGGTGGAAACACGAACTAAAGAGTGCTGACAACATGCATGACTTGAGGACAGTGATTTGCATGGATGGAATGATGTGGCCAAGAGCAACTTGAGAAGGGAAGGGAGGCCTGGAGCTAGGCCTGGCCTCCAGGAGAGGAACAGACAACCACAGCACCTTCAATGTGTTGAGAACCTAATGTGTATGACTCAGAGGCAAAATGTCAGGGGCCCAAGTTTAAGACCAGAGGTGTGAATATGAGCTGGGACTGCCTGAGGGATTGCCAGCCTTGATCACCAAGGGCTTGGGCTGTCACGTGTGGAGAGTCCAGCCACTCCTGCTGCTGCCTCGTTCTCCTCAAGCTGAGAGAGAGAGGGCCCTCCTGGGGTCCCCAAGGGAGCTTGGGCTGTGGTCCCTGGGCTCTGGGAGACTCAGCGCATGGGGGCACAACTCTCATCCAGGGACAGGGAAGGCAGGAGAGATGGGGTAGTGTGTTCCTTTGTTGGTGCAGTGAAGAAGAGTTGCTTTTGTGTCTAGGAAGCATGGTCCCTCTCTTCAGTGGCTGGTCAAAGGATGAGAGGGCATTTCCTGAGGATCAGATGTGAACTGTACCAGAGAGAGAAAGAGGGAAGGGGAGGGGGAGAGAGACACAGGGAGAGAGAGAGAGAGAGAGAGAGGGAGGGAGGGAAGAGGGAGGAGAGTGCGAGCCTGGAGCCACTATTAGCCCAACCCAAGAGTACTCCTAAAAGGGTTAAGGGAACTCTGATAGCTCGTGTCTGGGTGGCATGGACCCCTGCGGAGCCAGGGCCTGAGAGAGCTGGTGGCCAGAAGAAAGGGAGGAGCCACAGCCTCACCAGAGTTGCAGTTGAGGGGCCAGAGAGGAAATTCCAAAGAACCTGAGAAACCTCCTGAGAGAAAAAGTCAGCTTTAAACATTAGGAGGCAGAAAGAGAAGAGTGACAACCCTGTCCCCCACTAGGAAAGGTCACTTTAAACGGGGCACCAGGCTGAGGGCAGGGAGAAGCGATGGTAAGTTCAGAGTTTTGATAATTTTCAAGCACTGGATATTTTAATTTCATAATTGAGGTTGATTTTGTAATTTAAAGGGATCAAAGGGCCTTTTATATTCTGAGAGGGGCCATGAGCTAGGCTATGTCACCTTCCCAGAACAGCTTTTATCCAGGGACAAGAGGAAAACTCCTCCTAATGAGGGAATTATGCAGGGAAGACAAAAATAAATTTGCATTTGGAGGATACCCTAACAAGTTGTACCTGTTCCACATATTGGTGGCACCATCTTGCTTTGGGTTTCTATCACTTTTATAGGAAGGGTCTAGTTCAATTAGTACATTAATGAAACTCTGGAGCTAGTGGTAGTCTCCTCTGTTCTGTCCATTTCATAGAAGGAGCAGGTAAGGAAGAGTCTCTCTCCCAAGGGCCCTTTGTGAGCTGGGATTAGAAACAGTCAATAGCTAACTCCATGAGCCTGCTTCGTTGGCTTACAATTATTTGAACTAATTTATAAATCTCTCGTTCCTTTCCTTGAGCAACTGTTATTAGAACACACTGGAGTTTGCCCAGGAAATGAATATTCAGATCAAAGGGCCACAGACCTTGTATTCAAGCAAAGGCTTACACCAAGTTGACAGAAAAAGTCATATGCATGACTATCTAGAATAAAAAGAGGGAACTCAACTAGGTTGGCGCGTGTGTCAATGACCCCATGACTCCATGCTGGGGCTTGAAGGGATGCTGGGGCTGACCACATGGAGAACCCACCTGTCTGCTGTATACTGGGGCCTTCCTGAGAGTTGCAAGAAACTGCCACTGGTCTGCTCGGCTGCCAACAACATGACGGTCTCGCTGGGCTGGGAGGATGACGGGAGGCTGCTTTCAGGCTAGATGGAGAAATTCGGAGTCAGGTGGCCAGGTCTGCTCACTGAGAGTTCTTAACCTTCTTGGAGCAGAACTTTGAAGGAACTTGTGGGTTTACACTTGAGTTCCACAGCCTAGCCCTGGGAACCAGCCCCTTAAGCATGAAGTCCCACAATCACAGACCACAAAATGGGACCTCAGCAGGGTCCTGCCCTCTCTCTGATGGACAGTGGTGGCTACTCTGTCCAGAGCACAAGAGCTGAATGTTCAGGATCAAAGGATCAGAGCAGCTGAGCCAGAAAACAACTGACTTTCGAAGTTGGTGATGACAAACCTACAGGATTCAGCTTAAATGAGAGAAGGAAAGGACTTGGATTCTGGCAGCTTGAGGTTTGGTGCAATCCTGTCTACCAAGGCTTCCTTCCTGGGCGTCTGCATTAAGCAGGTCCTGGAAAGGCCTCACATTTGTCAAGAAAATGCCCAAAATAAACTGAGGGAGAAGAGCAAATCCCTAAGGAAATATTTGCAAAAACTTGCCATTAAAGGGTCAAAAATCTTGATGTGCTAAAAGCTTTATTTTACAAACCAATTTAGAACAACACAAACTGCCAATAAAAAAATGGCCAAAAACAAAACAGGCAAGGTAAAAGATATATCTATATGGTGGGATCCCCCCCAAAAACAGAGTCATATTTTGGAGGGTTGGCCCCTTGTAGTGGGCTTCTCCCACTAGATAAGTGTTCCAGGAACCCATCAGCATCAGTGTGCCAACTAGCGTTGTTGTGAGAGGTTGCATTTGGCTTCAGTTAACTTTTTTCGGAGGTTCTTTCCACCCATTTGCCCATTTCATGGTGGGTGATTGACGAACATACTGCCCACACTGCACTGAGTGTCCAGCAGTTTTGACCAAAAATGGCATGATCCCCATGTCCCACACTCCCTATTGACCTGATCTCACTCTGAGGAACTCTTTTTTGTTTCCCCAGGTGGAAAAAGTCCTCAAAGGGAGACATTTTGCCCCTGTGGAGGAGGCGAAACAAAAAACAGCAGAAGCACTAAAAGGCATCAAAATGGATGAGTTCAAAAACTGTTTTGAACAGTGGAAAAGGCATTTTGATAGGTGTATTGCATCAAACCAAGAATACTTTGAAGGTGGCTGAGGTTTAGATATGTAAGAATAAATACTAATTTTTTAAAATAAATAAATTCAGGGTTTTTTGGGTCCCCCTTGTACTATATGTCAAGCACTGTTCTAAGGCTTGAGGGTATGGTAGGGACAAAGCAAATGAAAGACCCCTTCTGGAGTTTATCCAGCCTTATATCTATCCCAAGATAAGTGCTGATTCCTTACAATTCCATGGATTTTTGGGTTCCCCCTCATATATGTGTATATATATGTGTGATATACATATATAAACGCACACACATGTAACAAGGTTCAAACTCAGCCTCTCATATTAGAAAATTAAAACTTTTACTACCCAATTGTGACAGGATACAATGACACAGATACTCTTACATTGGTGAGAATATAATTTAGTATGATCTTGATGAAAATAATCTGGAAAATATCTTGACAAATATTTGTCAAGAGCCCTGGAAATGTTCATGCCCTTTGAATTCTACTTCGAAAACCTATTTGAGAAAATAATCAGAAATGTGGATGATACATTTAATTGTTTTAACATTTTTTACAATAATAAAAAATTATATACAACCCTAAATGTCTAATATTAGCAGACTGGTGAAGTAAATTTTAATTCACTCATACAACTGAATAGTATGAAATTATCAAAATGACGTTTACAAAGAGCTTTTAAAAGACATAGAAACAGGCCTGGTGACTTATGCCAATAATCTTAGCACTTTGGGAGGCCAAGGCGAGAGAGTTGTCTGAGCACAGGGGTTCAAGACAAGACCTAGTCTCTACAATAAATCAAAAAATTAGCTAGGTGTGGTGGTGTGTGTCTGTAGTTCTGGCTACTTGGAAGGCTAAGGCATAAGGTTTGCCTGAGCCCAGCAGGTCAAGGCTGCAGTGGCCGTGAGTGTGCCACTGCCCTCCAGTCAGGACAGCAGAGTAAGACTCCAATTCAAAAAATAAAATAAAATAGAAACATGCCTATAATATAAAGTGAAAAAAGCAGCATTCAGAAATATATACTTATATTATATACTGGGGTGCCAAAAAATATATATACACATTGTAAGCGATGTGAGCTATGTATTACTTTTAGCTTGCTGTAATCAGAAGTGACTAGATACTGATGGCAACCACTCTGAGCACGTCTTGTAATTGCAGAAGTCAAATGTGACTTGTATTCATTTTTTGTTCTGGTATATATTGAGTACTACCATTTTAATACGGCTTTTTTCCTTTCTTAAAATGTGTATACACTTTTGGCACCCCCTGTATATGTATACATACATACATACATATGTGTGTGCTTATTCCTTTCTTGACAGATCTCAGAGGAAGGGCCCCACTTACTGTTGCTTCGGTGGAGCTGGTGGGCATCTTGGGCACTAGGCAGTGAGTGAATTGGATTCTTGGGTCTTTGGTGGTGATGGACAAGCCTTTCCGCAGAATTCTCACCAAGCGGATCCAGAACTGAAACATGGCTTCCGAATGTTTTTCGTGGAGCTTCAGGTAATAGATCTTTTCAGTCACTGTTCTAACCCTCAGGACGCGTTGGACCTGATCACAGATTCGAAGCTCCACATACTTCAGGGGGAGAATCCTGGGTGTAATCAGGACAGTCCCAGAGGGGAGCACTTGGCTTTAATTGACCATGTGGGTGCCCATCTAGATCATGGCTAAACCCCACTGGCCTCCCACCTCTGCCTGGGGGGTGCTGAAGGGAGAAATCTCATGTTCTGAGGGTGGTAGTGACTACCAAACCCGACTCCTCTCTGATTTCCAGGACTTTTGTTATTAAAGAATCTGCTGACATCAATAACAACGACTGACACTGATGTATAACATCGCACTGAACTCTTACAACACTTGGATGAAGGAAAGAAAAGCGTTATTCACTCCACTTTATGGATTTTGAAGCTGAGGCTCAGAGAGGCGAAGTGATTTTCCCAAGTTTAGAAGTTATTAAAAAGGAACAGGAGCTAAGAGTTCCTGACTCAATTTCTAGGCCGCCTTCTCCCTTGGTCTTGATTAACTGTTTGGAGCGGGGAAGGACAAGGGTGGGTGTCTCTCACACAGCCATAGTCCTGTTTGACTTCCATAGCACCCCACATCTACCAGGGGTGCCCCAAAATGTATAAACATTTTAAGACATGTTAAAAGATGTTCACCATAATCAGACGCTGATGGTAACCACTCTGAGCACCTCTTGTAATTGCAGAAGTCAAATGTGACTTGTATTAATCTTACTGAGTCTAACAATTTTAATGGTTTTTTTCCTTTCTTAAAACATGTATACATTTTTTGGTACCCTCTGTGTATTGACAAAATAAAAGAACACAAAAGCAAGGCAAAATTGTCAAAAACTAGGCTCATGACAGGGACTGTGTCCTACTACTGTGTCTCAGAATGAAGAACAATGCTTGGTGCATGTAGATACTAAATAAATATTTGTTAAATGAACGGATTATACGTAGTTTATACTCTAAAGCATATTGTCCTTTTTTTGGGCTAAAATCCAGCTGGGAGACCATATGTATCCCAGTCAATTATCCCACCCCTCTGCCCCCTCCCTCAAGTCTTTACCTGCTGAGGGTGATGACCGGGGCATCACTAGGTGTGCTCCAGGTGGAAAATGGACCCCGGGGCCAGGTGACATTGGCCATCAGGAGGACATTGGGGAGTGGCAGGGAGGGCTCTGAGGAGGTCACCCCAAGGATCGTGGTGGTAGACCCTTCACAGACATTCATCCAGTTTCCAGGCTCAGTGACCTGGAAATTAGCCCAGGTATGTGGGTCAGATAGGAATAGACGACAAGGGGTGGAAAGATACAGGTGCTAGAAACGGGCCTTCATCTCAGTGACAGATGTGTGGCACACTGGGCTGGGCCCTGACCTGCTAATGATGATTTCTGTTGGTCTCCTCAAATAAGCTTTAAGCTTATTGGGAACAGGAACACTGTGTTGCACATCTCTGTTTCCTCTAGTTTATCTAATTGTAAAAATAGGCACTTGTAAGAAAAAGCCGAGTGGCACTGACATTTTTATTCCCTCACCCTTGGGTAGGAGAAGCCAGTACTGATTTCTAACGGTCTAGAAGGAAGATTGTGTGAAAAAAGGCCCAGAAGTGAAGGAAAGTGAGGACAGGGCTTGTTGAATGAGGAAGACACAGACAGTTGCAGAAGGTTTGGGGCACTTCCCTCGGGATGAGGGAGGGTCCATCTTGTTGCCGGGTCTTGAGTGGAGTAAGAACCTGTCCTCTTAGAAGAAGGCCATCTTCCACCCCAAGTCCCACTCTAGGGCCTGGTTCCTTGACTCCAGGTATGGCAGGACAGGGAGACTGGATGCCCGGCACTGGGCACGGTGTCTCAATGACCATCCCTCACTGTTCAGGGCTGGTGGAAAAACACCAGCGCTGTGGTCACTGAGAAGCACCAGAGAACAGAGTAAGGAACATACGAGGAGAGATCCCTATGTCCCCAAGGCCAGAGGGCCTTCTCCCAATGTTCTAGATTCTGTAAGACCATCGGCACCAATGCACAGTTCCTGGTGGAACTGGGGACAAGTGGAAAGCCTCGGGAATGACTGAAATTTAATTTTCCACCAGCCTGGCCAGAACAGACATTTCTTGGAGTCCATGTTAGGGAATGAAATTCATATCCCTTACAGAATATAGGAGATTGCACACACTGGGAGTAAGTGCTCAATAAATGCTTGTGGTTGATGCCACTTTGAGGTGATGATGGTGATGGTGGAGGAGAGAGAGGAAGCAGCATGGGCGTATTGTAACTGTAGCATATGCGAACTCTAACTGGGGCCCACGCAGGCTCAGCCCAGCCCCAAATCTGGCTCGCCCACAGTCTTTGCTTTCAAATAAGGCTCCATCGTTTCAAGCAGACATTGAACTATGGCATGTTCTGAGTTTCCTGCTGCCTGGGCCACTTGGTGTCCATTCAGATAATCTAAATAGTTCCAGTCTCAAGCCAAAGAGAATATATATATATTTTTGAGTTGGAGTCTCACTATTGCCCAGGCTGAACTGTAGTGGCACGTTCAGGGCCACCGCAGCCTCGACCTGCTGGGCTCAGGCAATCCTTTTGCCTCAGCCCTCCAAGTAGCTGGAACTACAGGCACGTGCCACCATGCCCAGCTAATTTTTTTATTTATTGGAGAGACACGGTCTCGCCAAGTTGTCCAGGCTGGTCTCGAACCCCTGTGCTCAGGCAATCCTCTTGCCTCCAACCTCCCAAAGTCTGGGATAACAGGTATGAGCCATTGCACCTGGTTGAGAACATATTAAGAGGACAAATCTGCTGCCAAAACACCACGCTCAAGTAGAAATGGGTAGAAATTGGATGCCGAATGCCTGGATTCCCACGTGACTGCTCCCTCTCCACCAGGAGTATGTTAGGAACGGGCTCACTCCCAGGTTTGCCCGCTGATCACCCAACCATGCATTTTCCTGGGGGCAGCACAGGCACCACGGAGTGCCAGGAGCCATGAACACAACTCTCCTAAGTCCAGGGACTCGATTAAGGGAGTGGCTCACTGCTCGTGAAGAGTGTCCAAGTTCAACTCAAACCTTAGACTGTTCCCATGCTCCCCCCACAATGGCTCCCCACCTTGCCACTCCACTCAAACGGAAGCTTGTCCTGAAGACCCCTCTGTGCCTTCCAGCCTCCCTGCCTCTATGCAGGCATTTTAAAGTCTCTCTGTTGGGGATATTCTCCCCCCTGCCTTTGCACTTACCAAAATCTCAGCACTCCTCAAAGAATAGCTTAAGGCCCTTCCAGAAAGCCCTCTTCAGCAGCTAAGGTCCAAAGAGAATGCTTTGAATGCCCCCCAGCCACCCGTTCTCTGTACTCATGACTTAAGGTTCAGCTGGCCAAGCTATCTGACATAGAGTTTGCATAGACAGTTGCCATCTTATAACAGGTAACCCACACTCAAAGGCTCCCTGGTCAAGGACACAAGGTCTGATTTTTCTTTGCACCTCCTGCCCTGCACACAGTAGGTGTTTAGTATATACTTGCTGACTGATGAACTGGTCATGCCACACCTGCAAAGGAGCACGGTGGCTCGGGGCCTCAGCTTGTAATCCCAGCACTTTGGGAGGCTGAGTCGAGTGGATTGCCTGAGCCTGGGGGTTCGAGACCGGCCTGGGCAACTTGGGAAGACCTAGTCTCTACAATAAATAAATAAATAAATAAGCTGGGCATGGGACGTGGTAGCGCGTGCCTGTAGTTCCAGCTACTTGGAAAGCTGAGGTAGAAGGATCGCCAGAGCCCAGCAGCTCGATGCGGGGGTGGCCATGAGTGTCCCACAGCACTCCAGCCTGGGCGACAGAGTGAGACTCCAACTCAAAAAAAAGAAAAACTCAGAAGGCTGAGGCAGAAGGATCGCCGGAGTCCAGCAGGTCAAGGCTGCGGCAAAAAAGGAGCACAGGCTCAGGCTAGACCGCTAGAGGAGGCAGGCAACACCTGAGTAAGATTCGATTCACATGAAAATGACCACCCCCCATTCCTAGTGGCTCCATCCCAGGCTCCTTTCATTAGTCACCTTACCCTCCTCTTGGGCAATGGTAGGCTCTAAGCAAGGCTGAGTTGCCCAGTGTCTTTGCTTTCCAATAATGCTGTTTCTGAACCATCATTCCCTATAACTGTCCAGTTTGGAACAGCAGCCCAGAGAGGATGCCTATGGACCTTTCCTGGAGCCTAAGCGCTGATCTCTCCTTTTGTAAGGTGTAAAAATTGATTTTCTTAAAGTCTCTGATCTGCAGAGAGTCCCATCATGCAGCAGGCACAAATGGAGGTGAACGTGGGACCCAGACCCCGTGGTCCTCTCTAGCCTTGGTGGCTTCTTTCTCCACCTCAGGGTTTTTGAAGGCCACCACATTCCCTGACCATTCCCTAGGAACAGGTTTTGGAAAGGGAAAGACAGCTGACCCTGAGCTCCACATGGGTACCTGGGTAAAGTTGCTTTCAAACACTGCTGAGTTGGAGAACAAGTTGAATTCTGGAGAATGAATCAGTTGACAAAGAGGGCCTTCTTCCACACCAAGTTCCATTCCATCTTCCACACCTGGTTCCTTGACCTCAGGTGGGAGGCCCCTGATTTTACTCATTTGTTCTTGGGAAGAATGGGCTGGGGAACATCTCGGGGGCCCAAACAGACCCAGCCCAACTCCACGGTGTTGGTATGACCGCTGCCCCCTGCCTCCCAGCCCCATGCCCCACCTTACATGCAGGCTGTCCACTGGGGCTGGGAGGGCCTGTCAGCTCACAATGGCAGGAATGACATCAAGGAATGCAAAGGGTAACAACACAAGGGAAGAAAGGAAGAGGCCAGGAAGGACAGAGGATGTGCAGGGCACTTTTCTCCCTCTTTCTGTCAAGTACAGGCCTGCAGGCATGTAGACCATTCCACTTTTCAAACCTTCAACCTGACCCCAAAGAGGGGAAAACGACCTTACCACGGGTACACCAAGGCAGCGGCGAGCTGGCCAGAACAGCCAAGAAGGTCACCGGGGAGCCCCAGGCTTTCATCCTCTCCCCATGAAGTTTCTCAGGAAACTTCCTCTGTACTTGAGACTTGTTTGCCTAAAGTTAGGAGTCTCAGAGCAGGAGAAAGGGAGCCCATCTTCCCATCCCCATGTCATGGGATAAAATAAGGATTTAAAAAACCCCCCCAAAATCAGGCTGTTAACAAAACAAAGAGGCGTATTTAGTTGGAAGCAGTGGGCAAAGGAGATAGTGGCACACACAGTCATGCTGGAGCCAAGTCAAAACAGACCATGAGAGATGGTTGTTAAATGTCCAGGGATGTTATAATCCAGCTGTTAAACACAGCTATTATTAAAACGTAAATGACACAAACAGGCCGGGCTCGGTGGCTCATCCTGTAATCCCAGCACTTTGGGAAGCCAAGGCAAGTGGATTGCCTGAGCCTGTGGGTTCGAGACCCACCCAGGCAACTTGGTGAGACCTGTCTCTACAACAAAAGAAAAATAGCTGGGTGTGGTAGCATGCATCTGTAGTTCTGGCTACTCGGAAGGCTGAGGCGGAAGGATCACTGGAGCCCAGAAGGTTGAGGCTACAGTGGCTGTGAGCATGCCATTGCACTCCAGGCTGGTCAAAGGAATGAGACTCCAACTCAAAAAAAAAAAAAAAGATGCAAACTTACAGTTACATAGCATATCAGAAGCAAAGGTAATTGGCAGCCAAAACTCATCACTTCTTAATTATTTCACTACTCTCCATAGTCTTGAGATTATTTGCATTTGCTATACCTACATGATAGAAATAATGCATAATAGTGTGATGCTGCCCATCTCTTCCAAGTGTGTGTTAAGAACTCCATGTTGGTAGCTAACTTGAAATCAGCCATGTTGGAAATCAGCAAGTGTTACACATCGGGGCTTGGTTTATTGTTTTGTTGATTGTCTAGACTAAAATGATGGAGAAAATGTCAACGATGCAGATTAAATTTAAATATGTGTCTTGGCCGGGCTCGTTGGCTCAGCCTGTAATCCCAGCACTTTGGGAGGCTGAGGTGAGT